TTGATTATTTCTTTCTATGTCTTGGCAATCTTTTGATAAATAAAATTTGTGATTCTTTTCCTAATTCTTTGCTATTTATTTCTTTCCCTCTATTCTGTCCATGACAATTTAATTAATGAAGTCGCGGTATATTTTCTAATTCCATCCAGAAAATATCAGCAATTTTAACGAAAACGAACCCATAAATAAAAACTTAAATCCTAAATTGGATTTAAGGCAGTTTGGACCTCCGAGAACTCTAGAAATTTGGGCCATCTCAAAAGCCTACAGTTTCTTTTAATTAATTATTTTTAAAGTAATTGATTTCTGTAAACTAATAATTTCTTGGTTCGTAACATTAACATCGATAGTTTTTATCTTTGTCAAACTCATCTCATATTCCAAAACATCTTGTTAGAGATAATATTAATTTTCTTGTGCTATTCAAACAAGATGAAAGGAATCTCAAGCATGTTTACAATGATCATGTGAATACAGATATGACTTTTACACAGTTTCGAGATTTATGTTCAGTATGTTGGAACTCTGACAGGTATAGATTTGTAGTTATTGATAAAGATAGAAATATGAATGATGGAAGATATAGGAAGGGATTTTATTGCTTTATTCAGTTATAAATATTAAGCATTTCAAGAGAATTGCATTAGTTCAGTTTGAGACTTTCATAAATAAACATGTTTCGAAAGGAGCGAGAGACACTACATCAAATAGCTGCAACAAGTGATGCTATACGTCGAAAGTATCGTATTCTTAAAAGTGGCAGAGGGGCAGCTAAAAATATGTTGAAGGAAACCTTTCAACCATTTGAAAAATTAGTGAATATAACTAAAAATCCTATAAAGATTGAAAATTTTCAAAACCATGTAAAGAAAGAAGAATAAGAAGACTTTGAATCATCTTTTAAGACTGTCATTAGTAAAGATACACCTTTCAACACACCTATTTATAATGATGATGTAACGTTTTATGATCCTATTTATGAAGAAGAAGAAGAAGAAGAAGAAATGCAAAATTTAATAAAAGAAAATATAATTGATAGATTGCCCAATCAAGAGAATCATAATATAATTACTAATGAGCAAAATAATAATATCCTTAATTATGACTTTCATGCGCAAGGCATGTACGATATTAAAGATGAAAGTAATGTGGTGAATACTGTGGAAGAAGATTCTGATAAATTAACAAAGTTTCTACAAATGTTGGACAAAAATAGGAAACAATATATAGATACGGTTTATGGAGTACGTAAACTTCCAAACGGTACATATAGGATTGGTGATACGCAAATTGATTTTGAAGGTTCTTACATTAACCTAGTTGGGAAGAAAAAATATTCTAAAACAGATGGATTATTAGAACTCATATTCTGTCAAAAACCTGATCAGAGGTTAACAAATGCTAATGATTTCGTAAACTATAAAGAAATCCTGCGTAGTACGAATGCATATAGAAAGAACTATAGCCCAAATAAACCTATTCGTAGTAATAAGACTTTCAAATATAATAATGTTATTGCAAAACAATGTTATTGCTCAAATCTGGAGATTCTTTTTTGAAGAGAAAAACTCAATTACCACAATTTATGCCGGTGAAGAAAGAATCATATCCCAATAGACTAGGATCCAAACGAGATTGTTGATCGTTTACACTTACTTGTCGCATCACAACAGGCAGGCAATTTAAGTCATAACAATGAAATTATGTCAATAATTGAAGAATTACGGGAAGCTCAAATTATATATTAAGAGTGAACTTGTAAAATTAAGACCATTATTATATTGAATATTGTTCTATTAAGAATACTTTTTTTTTGTTAAAAATCCTTCAACAAGAATTATCAAAAGTTAACAGTTGTGACAGAGTTACATAGGCAAGCTCGGAGAAATTATCCACGTCGAAAAGTAGAAATGCTTGGAATTGATGAAACTTGGCAAGCAGATTTAGTTGAAATGATACCTTATTCTAAAGTTAATAAAGGTTTCAAATATATGTTTACAGTTATAGATATATTTTCTAAGTATGCATGGGCTATTCCTGTAAAAAGTAAGACTGGAAAAGATGTTTCTGAAGCTATGGAATCTATTCTTGTGAATGGACGTGTTCCTAAAAAATTGCATACTGATAAAGGGAAAGAATTTTATAATTTTATATTTAATGAAATTATATAAAATTAAACTGTATTTAACTTATAGTAATTTAAAAGTTTCAATTATTGAAAGACTTAACCGCACATTAAAAAATATGATGTGGCCACAGTTCAACTTACAAGGAAATTACAAATGGGAAGACATTTTACCATCTCTTGTTAAAAAGTACAATAATAATAAACATCGCACTATCGGAATGAAACCTAAGGATGTCAGCAGAGAAGATGAAAAGAGACTGTTAAAACGCATATCCAAACAAAGGAAAATTTTATCTAAGAAAGCAAAATTCAAAGTTGGTGATAAAGTGCGAGTTAGCAAGTGTTACATCCCGTAACAAAAATCTTTCCTTAAAAGTATAAAGAACACGTATATACATAAAATAATATAAATTATCAAATATTAGTAGAAGGAGGGTGTATATAAGAAAATTCATTGTTCTCACCCATTTCTTCTGTTAATATTTGCAAGCAATCATGTTTACTACAAGTCGTTTTGGAAGCATTTTAGTTTGAAATAAAGGATTATTTGTTCAATTCCTTTCTCACGATGAGTCTTATGCAGATGCATAGGCTAATATCTACCGATGTGTTTACATCATATCAAGTCGCATGTACATTTAATAATACTCTTAGTAGTAAGAGACCTAAATGTTTAGTCTTCTTACAGCTATACTATGCCACTTGATATGATTTTCACACCATTACCAATAGAAAATTGTAACATCCGCAACTGAAGTCAATATATGACTCATATATTGCATCGCGAGGCGCAAGCACATAAGCTTATGCTACGTGACCACAGGGTAGCTTTCGTCTCGCGTTGCAATACAATACCCCTATAGAAAAGACTGTAGATGCATATGCCGACCAGCGACCTATATCTATTAGATCCAAGAAATTGTCTTCGTGATTCTAAAATTATAATTCGATCAGGACGTGATCTCTGCTCATTTTCTCCCACTGAAGGTGGATTGTGCTAGAATAAAAACCCTGCAATTAGCATGGGGCGTTGTCAGTTCTCCGGTTCTAAGATCGCACTTCACGTCAAATAATAAGTCAATACTTTGCTATTTTGATAATTGTAAAATCTTTCAAGTCTAACAGTACAATAAACTCGTGTTCAAAAGAATAAGTTCTCTTGGTCGCCCGGCTTGCGAGTATATTCTCAAAAAATCTGCAAAATCATATCAAAATACGAATAGAGACATTTGTGAATAGTTAGAAGCTTTTCTTGCTTTGACCCTGGTGGTTTCAAGTGTTCAGGACAAAATAGGAAATCATTATGCATATTATGTAGTTATGTAGGATAATCTAAATCAACTTCCAAAATATAACCTATAGTTGCATCATCTGCAACGTTAAAATTAAAGTTATTGTCAAATTTTAAAACCCACTTGAAATCTCCATAGGGAAGAGACTGTACCATGGCCCAACCATACAGATTATTAGCGTCAATACAATGTAAGAAGTCTCCTCATTGACATTGTGCTCTTTCATATATTGATTATTTGCTTTGGCATAACGATTTGTCCTTTTACTTATGCCGCCTCTTATACCACGTTCAATAAACATTATCATATCAATGTCAGTGAGAAGTTCTAGTTTTACATTTGTATATTTTAACATAGCATCCCAAGTAAAACCAGGTGTCGTGTAATAGTGTGCAGGATCTAACCCGTATGCTTTTAAGCATTGTTCACGGAAATTTTCAAATACATCAGCAAGCAGCAAGATGTCAGTTTTCATATATAAATAAACATAATCACTAAGATTTTTACAATTGAATTCTGACCATACTTGCTGAGTGTGTAAATATTCTTGATCTGATATATTTGAATCATTCAATGTACTATAAAAATGTTCTTTATGGAGTAACTGAGTTTCTTCGAGTTTTTCCTTAGAGTTGAGATACTCGTAAGGAAAAACTCCTTTTCGGGTTAACAAATGAACTTTATCATCACTATAGGTTGAAAAGTTTGATTTAACAATTTTATATTCATTCAAATAAGATGCTAATTTGTCTAAAGATGATAACGTAAATCTAAATGAATCAATGAATCTAAATTTAATGAGACAAGTGACATCTTTTGTAAAACTAATATATTTTTCCTTATTAATGGGAAGAACGTCAACTTTACCTTCAAACTCATTCGCGATTGCTTTAATAATAAAATGTGCATAATAACCACTTAAATTATGGAAGACTACAAGAACTATTCTAGAATCTTGATAATTGACATTACAATCTTTATGGGCTGCACCTCGATACACCCCAGTTAGATGACAATGATCTCTAACTTTTACTTCTTCATGCTTGATAGTTTTCATACAAATGTGGCGCATATAAGCTACTTTAAATGCGGCTATTTGATCTGCATTTAGAGTATCCATTGCAATATTTACCATAAATGTAGGTTCAATTTCTTCCGCCAACTTTTTCAACTCTTTTGCAAACCATCTCGCCGGATCTTCTTCATTCCTGGGTGATGCCCTGTATTCATTTAAAGAGTCATCATAACTCTTTAAATAGAATCCTAAGCTGAGAAGTTGATGTTGTTGAACTACTTCTGTGCGACATCCCATAGATGAAGAATTCTCCCCTGGAACTAGTAGACTCTCGCAATTTGCATATATGATGAATGGTACTTTTTCTTCATTACTAAAGTTCTTGAATTGAATGCTATTAGATCCGAATTTCGGTAAGATGATTTTGGTGTTATTCTTTTTCTGGCAATCCTCAACGTGCTCGGTAAGTTTATCGTTACTTCTGAAATAGTGAAGACAACGATCGCAAATAAATAACGCATGCCCATCTGTTGAGACTTGGTTATTTATTAGACGCGATAAAGATTTATTTATTGTGATATTTGTTGGAAATTGAGGAATCTTCTTTATCATCATCCTCATCAATGTAGTGATCATCAACACGTAGAAGATTAACATGTTTGGATCGTTTCTGCGAGGTTAGGTGTATTGGCGAGACGGTGAATTTCCCCATTCGTTTTACAAGACAATAAACATTTACTGAAATATTGTTAAGCACTTCGAATCTTGCAACGTCATTGAGTGTTACGGGGAATTTAATATTTGTAAAATTTAAATAATGTTGAATATTTTCATAGTTTTGCAAACGAGATGGATTTGACGAAGCTTCATACAATGCCGATAATATTGTCCACATGAAGCATTCATTATCCTCTTCATTTCTGACATTAACACAGGCACGTTTAGCTTTAATAGATGGCGGTAGATCAATAAAAGAACCAACACGCAAAGGATTGTATTTGTTAATATTGACATCTAATCTATGGATTGAATACAGTTTGATTCCTTATCTTGAAAATCTTCAATTTCTTTAAGTGTTTTCTGCTTTACATAATCATTATACCAATCGCGTAACTCAGTTGAAGGGAAAATTGACTCTGACTTATTAATGAAATATTTTATATCGAATTCTGTAGTACCGTCAGGTAAAAGTTTTTTATATTTTGCATTGAATACTGTATATGGGCAAATCCACAGAACCGGCCGATTTCATGTTACTCACATATTTTTCTATTTTAGAAGTATTATATTAATTATTTTCATACTTCAACCATTTTGTAATATCTCTAAGAACCTATTGAAATAAGAAAATTGAATAAATGTGAACCTTCTAGTCTTTTATAAAAAATAAAATCGAATTAAGTAACTTAAAAAATGAAATTTACGGTGTTACTCCAGGTATAAATTTTAATTCTTATAGGTATAACTTGTTCGGCATAGATGCGAACAATTCCAAACTGTGGTGAATTATAGTTTACTTATTGAAGAATGTTTTGAAAGTAATTAAAAATATGTGCTCTTAAATAAAAAGAAATGATAGTCGTTGAAACTAGCGTTACTCATTATTTTATAATAATGAAATGTCTATACATTTTTGTAAATATCTTTTGCGGCGATTATTCGATTTGAATTGTTCAAATTGGAGCTTATTGCTTGTGAACAGACGAACAAATGTATGTATCATAGAATAGAGTGCAATCAGAATTAAAGAGAATATTCCAATAATTATCACTCTATGTTTAAGCGTGAACCATTTTCAACTTAGCCTTTTTTCAGTAGCACAACTACAGGATAAAATATGATGAGTTGAAAACATGTGTGATTATATAAAGACATTATTATAATTCTTGTATGCAAACGCCAAATTATATTTTCAATTTATAACGTCTAAAAATTAAAAATAAAAAAAAATTTATCGAAATTTAACTAGTTAATCGTGAAAAATGAATTATCCTTTCATTTGTTTTATTTTCAAAGTTATATCAAAATCGATGTCAATAATGTCAGTTTGTTGGTTAAAATAGTTAATATCAAAATTAGTAAGTAAACAATTTAATTTACAGAAATAAAAAATTAAATGCTAATAAATTAAATATATATTAAAATATGATAAAATATAAATAATTTATTTTTGATAATTAAAAAATTAATTATTTGTATTTTATCATATTTTATTATTCAAAATGTTTTGCACATATTTCAAATATATTTTAAAGAAAGTAAACCATAAATAAAAGGTGTGCTTGCTATTTGGAAAATTTTCATCTTGATAAGTAAAAATTGTCCGGTTCTGTGGATTTGCCCATATACTTTCAACGGACCGAACGTGTCTAAGCAAGTTTTAATGTGATTTTCAAAAGGAACAAAGGCATCATCTAAAAATTTATTAACATCTAAGTGACTTAAATTAATGACTGTACCAGTTTGTAATCGATTATTAAAAGCCGAATCAGTTAGAGCCCATTTACTTTTTTCATTTGTTTGATTAAGTCCTGCACCGTGTTTCATTAGCGAATCAAAGTGGCATTTCAAGTAATTTATATGATGTAATAACGTTAAGATCCTATGTTTTTGAGGAACTGAGAAGCTACATTTTTTAAAAAATTTAATTAAAATTGCATAATTTTGTCTAGACTTGTGATGCCACTGAAACGCACTAATGAGTCAATCGTCACCGGATTTTCTAGAGCATAACTCTACATTGTCAGCATCAATGAAATAGTCTGAGGCTTCACAAATCTCATTGAAACTATCAATAGAGGTGTATGGTTTGGATGTTCCCAAGTAGCACGATATATTAACCAGATGACACGGTGATATCACAGGGGAATGTCACCGTGACATCAGGAAAATGTCAAAATGTCCGCCTTACAGTGATATCACACGGTGACATCGAGGTGATATCATGGTGACATCAAGGTGATATCACAGTCATATCACGGTGATATCATTGTGATATCACCGTGATATCATGTTGATATTTTACAGGGACTTAAAATTTTTAATAATTTAAAAAATAATAATAAAAATAATAAAAAAAAATAATAATTTTTTAAAAATTTTAAGTCCCTGTAAAATATCAACATGATATCACGGTGATATGACTGTGATATCACCTTGATGTCACCATGATATCACCTCGATGTCACCGTAAGGCAGACATTTCCCTGATGTCAGTGTGACATTCCCCGGTGATATCACCGTGACATCTGATTGATATATCGTGCTACTTGGGTTTCGATATTTCTACGGTTAGCCATTTTTTTGTAAATTCTGATTAAATGAGGAAAAAGCTGAAAAAATCTGAAAAGAACGCTGAAAATAACACTGAAAAGAACGGTAAAAAAATGTTGAAAATAACTTAAAAAATCTGAAAAACCAATCAAAAGAATTTGGAACAATTTGGAAAGGAAGTAGTCTGCTACTTTAGTATATCTGAAACAGAAATAGAATTATAATCAATTTGATGAATATTAAGAGAAATGTATGCAAATATATTTATTTTGAGTAAACTTACAACGCTGCTATAAAATTTGGCAATGCAAATGAATGTTTGTCTCTTTTAGGAAGATTGACTTGATATTCTTGAATCTAAAACAGAAAAAAGGATTATGATTAATTTGATATAATTTATGTATAAGAATATAAGACTAAGATTAACTTACGCTGATGCTCTTGGTACTGCTTCTTCAACAAAGTTTTGTACTGGAATGAGACCTCTGAAGAGGATTGCTGTAGATATATGGCTAGTGTTGGAGGTCTGATGCTGCTGATTCTGGAAGCTGGAACAGAATGACTTTCCTTGCCACGGGAATCGCCTGAGGTACATGTAGTCCCCACCATTCACAACATCCCACCACTGAACTCCATTCCCACTTGACGCATGGATTACCAACGGGCCCGGTGACCGTACGCGCTCATCTGCCGCGCACCATTCACTTTTGAGTCATCTAATTATGATTTTTGAATTTTTGGGACCGTATATGTTTATACATAGGGAAGACATATGCAAATAAGGGGGGGTAGGCGACCAAAAGGGTTAAATTTTAAAAAGACATGCAAATGAGGGGTTACACAATATATATTTATATACAATTAATTAAATATTTGTTTGATCTTTTATTTAAAATATTCCTAACCAATTGTTCTGATTAATATGGGATCTCAACCAACTCACTGAATAATAGTGAGGTAAGGAAGGGATCCACTACCTATTACAATATAATTTGTCCGAAGGGCAACGTGTGTTAAAGTACCAAAGTCTTTTAGAGTTTTAGAAAATATCAATCTTTGATTGATATTGAATAATTTTCTAATATTCAAAATTCATCTTTAACAAATATTATTATTTTTGTGAGATCAAAATTCCAATAAGTGTCCGTCAAATAAAAATAAATTTTTAATTTTTCATAAAAAAGTATAGATACCGCGCGCGTTTACGCGCGTTTCTTTTAGCTAGTTAAATAATAATTTGCTTTACGAAAATTGTATATTTTATTGTTAATTTCATATCATTATTTAAAAATAAGTAATATAGTTTACAAATGTGCATGTGATAAATAAATACTAAGTTTTTAATTTATTTTTAGGCGCTATTTATTAATGCTCTACAACATGGATTAAAAAATATTTTGCGGCGAAATAAAGAAGCTCGACATATATTGGCACTACTAATGTCATTGGCTCTTTTACCTGCGAATCTAATTGGAATTACGTATGAAGAAATTCGTGATTCTTCATCTCGATACGTAAAACTAGTCTGTCAATCGTTCTTTCAATATTTTGAAAAGCAATGGTTCTCGAAAGTAACTCCTCAAATTTTCAGCGTGTTTATGCTGATTTATCGTACAAATAATCGTTCAAATGATTGAATCGTATCATAAAACTTTAAAAACAAAATGTGGAATTAAGTCTACCATTTGGGCTTTCAGCAGTAAGTATATGTGTATATTAATTTACATGTACTCCATGTAAACCAATTTAGTATTTATCACTTTTACCCTAATTTTCACCATAAAATAAACATACAGTAAAATAATAAATAATTATTATCGAATTTGTCTTTGTTTGATTACCAGACAATTTTTTATTTCTTAAATATAATAATTCAATGTCCGTAACTTTCACTGAATTTTTTTTAACATTGGTTATGTAGGCTTACTGGTATCTGGAGATACCGTTGTCACGAGATGGCGCTGTTGCTCGCGGGAATTTTTGAATTTTTTAACCCGTTTGTTCACGGGAACTCTTACGTATATTTACCTTTGGAATTCCTCGTGTCTCAATTCAAACGTTATTTCAATTCTCCAATTTATTACAGTTATTTAATATTCTCTTTATCTCAATCAATTATGGTAAACAACTCTCAAAACTCAATAGAAAACATAAACTCAATTACTGTTTATTTTCAATCTTAATTTCAAAACTAAGTGATCTCAAAAGAAACTCATTTATATACTCTTTAAATCAAACTCAAAAAATCAGATTCTCTTTATTCAACTACTTCAATTATCAATTCTTTGTAAAACTCAATATTCTTAAATCAAATCACAATTCAATACTAAATACTCTTCTTGTCAAAAATCTCAACTCAAAAATAAATACTTTAAATAATCTCAACTCAAAAAATCAAAACTCAGATAAAACTCAATAAAACTCCAAATGGAAACAACCTCAAAACTAGAGGTGTATTTCAAAGAGTCTCTCACTTAGAGACTCAAACTCCAACTTAAAACTCTCAAAAAAACTCCAAGCTCTACACTGAGCTCACTCTTCTCTCCCACAACTCACAACTCTCTAAACAACCCTGGTCTAAGGGGTTGTTCCACCTGTCTCACTCGGAGACCACACTTGGAAGACCTCGATCTTCGTGTGTCAACTGATTTTATTAAGTTGACTTTTGGTGGGGAAAAGAATATTTTATTTAACAAATTTATTCTTGTCAATGTTTTTTTTATTGCAACCTTGCAATATTGGGGTAGTGTTCCAGTTCAGTTTGAATGGACATACCTTGGATGCAGCAATGTTTATTGCGCCATCCTTTGTTTCTTGAATTAAATTAGTTCACTTAGTTTCTCAATTTTATCATGAATTTTAAATAGGTCTTCTTTAAAATTTAGGTTATTAATTGAAAGTTAATATTTAATATATAGTTATTTGGACATCTCTAAGAGATTCTAAAGGCATTTCTTATAATGTTTATAAAGTGTTATTTGTTTGTGTTGCATAATGTGTCCTCTTTTTCAAGTATTGTATTAATGAATTATTAATAATGTTAATAATTTATTAATAAGAAGTTACGAAATTCATACATAACAATATTATTTTTGTAATCGTTACTTTATTACTATTTCAACATTATGGTGTTATAATAATATTATACCTATTATTGCACAGTCAATATGACCTTTAAATTTTGTACTCAAATAAAGAATATATGCTACGATCATCGAATTATCAGCAATACATTTAAATGACCCGTCTCAGGATCCATGCAGGGTGAATTCCTATTTTGTTTACCACAAGGCCTATTAACTTAAAATCGCTTCACAATGTTAAAAAGTTCTGGATTCTTTATTTCGTCTGTGATTTCAGCACATATCATTTTATTTAAAGTTTCTGAATCGCAAATTTGTGTACGTAAACATGTAGTTAAACGCACATGTGGCAATCCACGCTTTTTTCTTCTCTATGAAAGACGATACATATAAAATTGTAAATGAATAAAATTACAAGTACCTTGAGTATGCTTAAGGTTAACAGTCCATCCAGGATCACCATAAGGAAACATTGTAGGATATGTCATGGAATCAAAATTTTCCCTAACAATAAGACTAGAAATTATTTTCTTATTATTTTCTGTAGTATACTGAATTTACATCAACATGTAAATCTCTCTTCAATTTCTGTTGATAATTTCTTCATCTTACAAGACAAATTTTTTTCTTTGGGTATTTTCTTTTCATTCTAAATTTCAGTAGACAGAACTCTGTTGTCATTTTTACTGGGAAAAGTCTTTAAAAAATATGAAAGGTTTAGTTCACCATTTTGAAGTTCTTTAGCTCGATTTATGAAAAGACAATTCCAATCATTCTCTACAAATCGAAATCCTAATATTAGACATTCTAACTGCCGGAAAATGATTTAATTAATATTTTTCAAAAAATGATATCAAATGCTTGCTTATTATATTATTATCATTTTCATAAATTAATCTTTTAATTTACACTGTTAACCAATACAGATGTTGCAAATGCTATTGCATTATACTTCACACTTAACTGTACCAATCGGTTGTTGATCAACATCTACGAAAAATTCTGTTGGTTTAAAAGGGAACAATCTAATTAAATATTCTATTTGATGAATATTCAAACACCCTGCATTAAGGCTATCAAAAATATAAAGTCTTACTCCATCGTAATAAACACAAATCCAATAACCAGAATTGTTATTACCGCTAAAAACTATTTGAATATGTTTATCTCTTTCTCTAATTGGAACAATTAAATCAAGCATTTGTAAATACAAAGTACTTTGCATAATGAAAAAAGAATTTGAATCATTTTTTAATAATTCTTGAAATTTATACATATGCATATCATTTAACATTTCATTTACATTTTCAATAATTTTAAAATCTTTATTACTTAAAATAAAATACTCTTTTATGTTCGACATGGTATCCTTCTTCAACTTTTAAACTGCCGATAAAGCCAATTTTCAAAACAAATCGTTTATTTTAGTTTATTGCTTTAAAAAATTTAGTTACATGTGTTTCACCTATAAAATATTTCATTAACTATAATTCAGCTAACGAATACAACAATGATAGTCTTATATGAACGTGAATTAGCGTTGTTTATTCTTTTTCCATATTATATTCTTTTCTATAATGATTATTATTTAACTTATTTGCCTCTGCAATTTTTATTAATATTCAAATCAATATTCAACTCACAAACTATTATTTAACCCATAAAACAACTTTAACCCTTAAAACAATATTCAAACCTCTTTCTATCTATTTAAATACATTTCCAAAAGCCAGCATCCTCTATTATCAAACAGTCAATATTTTTTTTTCAGTATCGAAATATATTCAATACTAATGTTATCCAATATCATTTTTTATCCTTAAAATGAAAATATCTTTAATGCCAAAATTATCCAATACCAACAAATTTTTCCAAAAGCCAGCTTCCACTATTATCAAACAATCAATATTTTTGTTGCATTATCAAAATATATTCAATACTAATGTTAAACAATATCTTTCTTTAAAAAAAAGTTGAGAAAAATTCGATCCTTGGAAGGAATAAAATAACATAAAAATTGTATGTTATTAATATTGTTTATTGTCACAAAACAAGAAACGACGTTTCGATGACTTGGTTCGTCATCATCTTCAGGTTAAATTTACTAAAAATATTTATAATTTTATTTATAACACCACATTATTATTATTTTTTTTAAATAATAAAGAATAAACAAGTAAGTTTCTTTATCCTCAAAATCGTAATATCTTTAATGCCAATGTTATCCAATACCAAAAAAACTAAATGGATTGAAGTATTTTTTATATGAAACATTTAAGACAACTAAAAGAAACAAATATCTTCTATACCAATATTATGCAATATCCATATTTTATGCATAAAAAAATTATTCAATAATCAATGTTTTATCTTCAAAATACATATATAATTATTAATACTATACAAAAATAGGAATATATTTTTTGGGCCCAATAGAAAAATTAAAAAGACAAATATAATATAAGAAGATTCAACACATGCAGTAAGTTATTGATTGACAAATTGCAGAAAAATATTATAAACTATATAATAATCAACTTAAGTTACCTGATACTATTAGAAGCTTTTTTTAGCGACACTACTACAATGTTGTTGCAACGGTAGATGGTTGCTCTATGTTTATCTTACATCAGCAGTAGCCGTTTCACTCCATTGAGGAGAAGTGTTATACCCCCACTCTACCAACTCGGGCCTATGTTAAGTTCTCATATATTGCTCCAATAATAATAAATGTTAATATTGAAAAGTTTTATAATTTTAGTTCAATTCAATAAACCTACATGATGTGTTTTAAACCGATTTAACCCAAAGGTGCTGGCACCAAAAACTTTCTTCTTGCTTTTTATTCTCCAGTACATATAACCACAAATGGTGATTGTTCGAACCGGGCTGGTAAAGTGGGAGACACAACTTCACCTTTCAGGACAGTATTTAAAAGGTCATCGACCATCCTACGAAGCCTCAACCGAAAGCTGTTTTGACAAAACAAATTTCCGGCAGAAACCTTCGAGAACCCTAATTATCAAAGTAAAAATATATATGTATATATAATCTAATAATAATGAGAAAATTCAAGTACTAAGAAAATGTGAATGAATGAAGGAATGAATACAAAGATTATTATTCTATAATTTTAGAAAAAAAATTAGTTTTATAAATATATTTTATATAACCAATTGTAAAAAAAATTAATTCGCATAAGCAAATAATGTAGGGTCTCTATTCAAATTTCAAATAAATATCTGGATTTAAAAAAATTTTTTTCCATATTTGTCATTTAATGCATTATTAACTATATTGCTAACATATTAATGAGTTTAAAAATCTTTTTATTTTGCTAAATTTTTTAAATCATTAGAGTTGCTCCAAGCTTTTTTTTAATTCTTTGGACTGGTTTAAAATATATCATGAAAATTAATATTGATAATTAAAAACAAACAAATAAAAAAAGATTAAAACTGAAATTTTGTATATCTCTTAGAGAATTCGCGAAGCTTTTTAGAAATTACTGAATTTTTTTGAAAATATTTTGGTTTTTACAAGTGAAACTAAATTCCCGATTAATTCGCGGTTTTCTCGTTCGATAGACACTCTAACAATGATAATAATATCTTTTCCTAAATCCTTTAAATCATTTAATTAATTATTAGAAATAATAATGTAAAACATTCTCAATTTTCATTAAACACAACAAAAATATATTAAATTTATTTACTAATAATCTTGTATTAAAAAGAAGAAAATGAATGAATTAATAAAAATTATTAAAACATTCATAACTTTTCCTACTTACTTGCTTATAATGGAAAAAGCATCCATGTAGAATTATGTTTGGAAATACTTGTAGCAAAGCTCTTTTTAGACCATTTTCAAAACCTATGAGAGCTTCCTCAATAATAAATTCTGGAATCAGCCTTTTAATAGATAAAAAAATTGATCTGTACGCAGCCGCACTCTTCTTCTCCATCAAAGCCCAAATGCAGGGAATAGTCTGGAAAAGTTTTTTTAATTTTTAAACTCTTTCATTATTTAACGCAATAAATATTTTTAATTATTACCTATTATCGCATATATTGTATTAAGTTTTATTTTGCAAATAAAAAAATCAATGGTGTCTAGTGAATTCTTATTTTTTCAAATTCCTGACAAATTTTCGTATCTCAAACTAATTTTTTCATTAAAAGATTCATAATTCTCACAATTTTTAAAGTATTTTAGTTGCTCTAAGGTTGATAAAATAATAACATAAATTTCATTTTTTAAAAATCTTTTTTTCTCTCCAGATTTATTTATAGATTTTCTCAAACTTACAACTGAATTATTTTAATAAATTCTGTGAACTCTTTAGTCATTTCTAAATCTTTTTCCAAATTCATGTTTTTTTTATATTCTAAATTACTGAAAAATTCCCGCATTCTCCAGATTACTAGACACCCTGAAAAAATTAGTATTAATTGGATTACTCACGTTATTAAATCTTCTCGATGATATTGTTAAAAACTGACTTGCGCCAATTGATTTTGGTACAAGCTTAAATGTCGCATCTAAATAAAAACATCCATTTATTGCTGCTTAGCGAACAAAATTTGGATTAATGAAAAGTACATTGTGAGACAAATCGTCAGCAACTACAAGTGAAATATGCATTATTCCTCCTTTATAATTCATTAAGTGCTTCCAATTATTTGAATTAATTACTATCACATAGGAAGAAAGTGAAGCAACTAATGGGGAAGAATTTTCTGACGCCATTTAAACATGGTATTCTCAATTGAAGAAAAAGTTACAGTAACCGATTCATCTTGATGACTGAATGTAACAAATAAAAATGCGAAAGTATAAGCATAAGATTTTTTTTTATCAAATAAAAGATAAATATTTTCTGAATAAAGGTGATAAAGTTATATTTAGATTTTCTATTAAAAAATGTTTTAAAATAAAGACAAAATAAGCATAAAATTGTTAATATATTGCAGCTGACATAAACATTTTATTGGGAAAAAAAAATTTCCTTTAAGCAGGAAATTATTGTCTCTTATGTGAATAAAAAGTAAAAATTTTAAATCATACGTGCGATTCAAAAACATATTTTTTGATACTACTTACTAGAAATCATAATTTTACTGAAATAACAAATTGATTGAATTCAACATAAACAAAACATGTGATATCACTTTGCGAAAATACATTTTTTTATTTAAATAAAAATTTCACACATTAGAAATAAAGTACGTAATTTAAATTCCAGAATTGAGACGATACTAATCACACTATTATTTTGACCTTACTTTGAGACAATATTTTAAATAAAAGTAATTAAATAAATAATTATTTTAAACGTAAGATATGTATCTACAAAAGTGAACAAATGGAAATATCATCTTAATCACGTATGTAATATTAAATTGAAAGTGTTGTGCTTTAAAAACTAAATTACAATTTTGTTTTTTCTTAGGAAATGAATAAAATTAAGAGTTTTATTATATATGTGTACTTACTTTAAACAAAAAGAATCATAAATTTTTCTCAAATTTTCAGTTTCATTGGATACTACGGCTTGATGCAATTCGCGCTTGAATGCATCTTCTTTTAATTTTGAAATATTGGGCTGGTGCGCATGTGGGTGAAGTTCAGTAAAGGTTTCATTTTTAAGAACACCTCTGCCACGACAAGTGCCTTTTTTACCCTGACTGCAGACGTAATAACTGCAAATTGTTATTAATTTTAAATTAACATTAATTAAATAAATTATTAAAATTTGAGATGAAATTTATTAACCTATACTTTTTTATCTTTTATTACGGATAAATTGAGCTCTTAATTTTTGAAATTAAATAAATAAATAAAAATTTCAGACGGATGAAATAATCTGTAACTACTATTTAGTGATCCGCTTTACCCTACTCACATATTTTTTGTCACAGAGGACATAGACACAGTGTAATAAAAAAATAATAATTACTTACACCGCATTCTCCCTGCAATACGCTACGCTGTATTTGTAATTGTTCCAAATGTTTTCTTTGAAAATACAAAATTTGCTTGCATGTTTCAAATTTTTGAGACTGAAAAAAAGTTTAATGAAGGATTCACTTTGAGAAAAGAACAATATGCGTCATTGTCTTCACATTGGAAAATTAATTGCGATTTGTGCTTTATTTAATACATACCTAATAAATTATTTATTTTAACCTCTTTCCAAAAGTAAATTAAAATTGTAATAGTATCTCACATTTAATGTAAAACATATAAAATGAACATTTAAATGTACAATGACAATTAAATCACTTGATTAACATAAGAGTGAGAGGAAAATGATGAATAAAAGAATAAACTAATCTAGAAAGTCCTTCAATCTAAAAATTAATCTACTTTCAGAGGTAAGAAATTAATTTTTAATTGTACCAACAGATGTCATAATTGCTTACAGAAAATATTAGAGAGTAAGAAAAATAATAGCCAAACCCGGACTCAACCTTTATATCTTTCTTTATTGGTTATTATTGTGTAAAAGATAATTATTGTATTTTTTATATATAAATCTTACTTTATGTACTTTGTTTATAATAATTTGTAAAAGAAAACATGTACAAATTATCACTGAAAAAGAGCCATATTATATTTCTCAATAAATAGTGAAATCCACATTTGCTCAGATTATGATTTTTGTTATTTTATAAAACTTGATCAGTCGGGTGAGAAAGAAGATTTCAATGAGGAAGATCTTCACATTTTTGGAACTTATATTATTAATTATTCACATAATTAATAATCACATCCGATATTGATTGTGATCTGACACGGAAGTATACCGAGGATGTCAACCCTCAGGGGCCACACGCATTGCGCAGGTCACTGGGTCAGGCGACCCTGCTGTTGCAAATCCAGGGTGGCCAGTGGACCGGGAAAACCGGGAAATGACAGGGAATTTGTTTTGACCTGGAAAAACCGGGAAATGACAGGGAAATTTTACCTTGACCGGGAATTTTGAAATTTTTTATTAAAAAGTATTTTATTTAATTCAAAAATTGTTGAAAGAAAAAAAAGCTTTGATCTTAGAAAATGCTCGCAAGTGTGCAGAAGACATTGATTTAGAACTTAAACAATTAAATAACCAAACCTGATTTTTAACTGAATACGTATCTGAACGTATCTTTAATTTAAAATATATATATATATGTTTATTTTAAAACTCAAAGTATTAAGATGTTAAAATATTGAATGTGATATTAAAAATGTAGTTTTTAAAAGTTAACTTCTAGTTTAATTGAAAAGAGATACAAATATCTACGAAAAAGTTTATTTTATTAAAAAAATATATAGTATGTGTTTATTATAAACATTAAGTAAGAAACAAAATGTGATAAACGTGATAAAACGTTTTTTTTTAAATGTATATTACGTATTTATATGTTTTATGTTTAATAAAGAGTCAATATTCAATAAATTTATAGAATAATTTTTTTGGGAATTTTTCTTTATGACCGGGAAAAATAATTCATGACCGGGAAATGACCGGGAAATGACCGGGAATTTTTTTTGGTGAAAAAAACGGCCACCCTGAAATCAGTTCGAGTTTGGCTACTCACCCAGTAATATACGAAAGTACTTATCATTTATCTCGCTTGATTGTTTTTACCGGTATAACCGCAATTATGGAATATCGGAAGATATTAAATAAAATAAAAGGTTAGTGAGCAGTTCTTCCTGTCACTGGGCATCTTTGTTCTGAACTCGCACGGAAAAAACCGAGAGAAAACAGGAAAATATTGTCCGACCGCATGGCATGGAAAATGGACGCCAACCTGTTCTCGCCGGCTGATCTCACCGCCTAGTAGTGTGGATTTCTCGAAGAAAAATTGAAGTTATTTAATAAATTCAGAAATAATTTATATGAAAATTATTTTAATTGCAGTGTTTTATTTATTAAATTCAGTGTAGTGTGTCGTTCTCTCTCACCTGTGTGTGTAACTCACGTCCTGAGAATAAAATAAATGTTTCGCTTAGTGTAATGTGTGAACTCGCGGTAAGTCGAGCTAGCCTGGGTAGAGTTCACACTTCGAAACGGTCAACGGGGATCCGGGTAATCTTTTACCTGGCGCTGAGGAGGAAACTCTAAACGGATCACCGTGGGTCTTTTTATAAATTCGAAGCGTGGAATTTATAAATCGAAAAAATGTGCAATCAACGCCATTTTTGTAGCGTCTTCTCTATGGAATTTTCCGTTGAGCACATGTTCGACGGGAATATAGGAAATTCGTAGAGAGGGATAGAGAATATCGTTACACTCTCTCGCAAAAAGTTTTCTGCTGATTGTCTCGTGCTAGAAATAAAAAAATTTATCTGTGACTTTCGTGTTCTACGACACAGAGTGATTTTTTTTAAGATTATAATATCTTGAACAATATTAAAAGTAATTATAAATAAGAGTTGAAATATTAATTTTTAGGAATTTTGGCTTACAATTTTTTTGAACTAATAAATACAGTGCTTTAACTCTAACGGAATTTTCTATACTTTTATTTTTTGTTATAGAATTTCAACTGTTTAATTAAAAAAATAATTCGAAAAAACGTACTTAAAATCACCTATACGTAATTGAAAAAAAATCGATTCCATATTTGGATTTTCTTTAATTTTGCCTTTTAAATCTCCCTAAAAGTATTATTAGACAGGTGTTTATTACTGTATCGTATACCTATTGTTAAAGTGATGAAGTGTTTATATTAGGGTTTTTCCTTCAGTAGGTATTTTCTCGTAACGACAGTACCTTTCAAAAGTTGTTACTTCAAAATACTAAAGATTAATAATTAAGATTTAATAAATATATGATTCTAATATTATATTTTTTATTTATTATTTAATAAAAATAATTCAATTCAATTAGTAAATTTTTTTTTAATTTAAAAATACTAATAATATACAATAATATTAACATATTTAAAACTTTTTAAGTGTATTAAGTTATTTGTCTTTTTATAATTTCATCAG